CTCCACTTCCAAGTCAACAGAAACAAGCCTGACCTGTCTCCCCCTGTAATGTTCGCCTTACAAACCTTGAAATTCTTATTTTTATCTCTGAATTTCAATCTTTTCTGTTCACCTCATTCCTATGTGCCATTTAATGCATTTTTAAAAAGTGAAACTGAATTCAGTGAAAATTAAAAACAAATTTTAAAATACTAGTTGTCAAGAGTAATAGATGTTATTTCAAGGAGAAGAAAATTCTTCGTTCAACATTTCATCATTTTTTTCACTCTGTTTTCATTTTCGTTCATTTCTTCAACTTTCCCTAATCCCTGTTATCACCCTGCTGGAATACCTCAAACGACTTATTTTTTATCTTGCAGCAATTAGTATTATACATTTTGCTTGATTTTTCAGCTTCTTTCAATCTGATTCGACTTTACTTTAAAGGTTTCAAATAAAGCTATCAGCAAGTGCCAGTAAAGTAGAAGAAAAAAAAAACAGAAGAAATAAAACTGAAAATGCTAGAGCAGAAACAATTTAGAAAGCTATACGTGGCTGCCGCATATATTTTATCAAAAAACAGGTTGATATAGATCAAACTTCTGAAAAAATCATTTTTAGGTAGCTTTAATTCAACAAGTTTATTCTTTCAGAAGGACATACAGGCGCTGTTGCAGCGAACCCTAGCCAATACAAAAAATTCAACCCACCGGTTCTTTTCGTACCTGTTCGAACGCTATTTTTAAATCAGTATTTGATGATTCAGTTCCCAATAAATTCGAAAATTTTTCAATAAATACACGAATTTTTTTTGACAAATATTTGTTAACAAATTTCTTTCTCGCTTTTCATACTGCAAAAATTACTTTAAACAACTTTATTACAGCCTAAAAAGTGAATTACTCTTATGTAGAAAAAAATGTGAGGATACTCAACAAATTAACTTAAGACATTACAAAGAATTATCATATATTTCTTCTCATTTTTCTCTTTTTGAAGAAGTTGCAGTATTGTTCCCATCAGAATTTACTAAAAATATAGAAAGAACATTTAAAAAGGCCCTGTATTTTTCAGTATATTTTCTTGTCACATCTGTGATTTTTTTTATTTCATCAAAACTCTTTCGAATCTTATTCACATCCGTTCTGCAACAGTAAAACGAGAAAATGGTTTCAAGATTCTGTTGGCTAGCTACAAGATCTCACAGCTTTTTAAGACTAGTTATGGAATCTTAGTAATAAATATTTTTTCTCTAGCTCCTTTAACTTAGGCCTGAAGAAAACGACTTTTACGTTAGTTTTTCCTGATTTACAAAAAGCAAAAGCAACTTTTCAGTTTATAGGGTTTTATACTTCAGTGTACAATTTATAAGCCGATTTTACAATTTACGTAAGCGGAAGAAATCTGTAACAACAAACTAGATTACATATATGGAGAAAACTGTTCTAATAATTTGCTGATCAAAAAAGTAACTACCTTAAAAAAATGACTCTCTAGTCAAAGCACTTTTTTGTTACTAAAAGTCTCTATAACGTTTTAGAGACCCACAAAATACATATTTTCAACTATCAATTTTATTTATGACAGAAACTCTGTTTTTAGATAAAAATACATTAACAGCTTAATAAATCCAAAAAATTTAAAATTGTGGTAGAGCTCCGTATATTGGTGCAATAATATTGTACTCTTCCCACCGTTTTATGTTGCCTATTTTCAGTACAAGTCAGCGTCTGAAATATGATAATATTATTCTAGAAAAGGTAGAGAATTGATAAGACCATTGCCATATAAAAGTTTAAATGTCTACTTTTTTGTCATGCATGTTTACTGTTGGTTAAAAATTTGAGTAAACTGTCTTCCTCTACAGTGACGAATAAGCCACCGAATATAAGCACGCCTTATACAGAAAATAGAGTCTGTCAAATTGACATTCTACATGAATAAAATCCCAAAAAATCTTGAAGTAGAAAAGAAGATATATATATGATCACCTGGAAGAAACAGCATTTGGATACCTGCCGTCTAAGGCAACATGAATTGGGCGTATCGTATTTATTTTACTATTGGTTTGATACCATCCGGTAATAGGTACTCAGGTACCACCGAAGGTGCGGCTGAAATGTACTGAAGGTATTTTTTCAATATAACTTCAAACCGCATACCAGGGGAAACAAAATTTTGAAGCTTGTTCAATATGGTTCAGTATACTTTGTAGCTGTATGAAGGTGAACTCATCATTTTGCCTTTTTTGATGTTTGTTACCTGCATTTTTTCACGCTTTGAGTTGTTGCCGTGCAGTTTTGTTTTCTAATTCTTGCTTTATTTTATGCATGTCAGTTATTTGTTTCTTGTCTACCCGTTAGGAATCCTTACTTACAAATGAAATAGATAAGTAAATAAAACAAACAAAATGTAATCATGTACAGGTATTTTTCCAATCTTAAATATTTTCAAAAAGAAAAAATACTATCTTTAATGTCAACAAGAATAATGAAGAAAATTTGCAAACTATTTTTTGTCTATTTGTTTTAACATTAGAATAATACAAAATGAAAAAAGTTAAAATGAAAATTTTAGCAAAACAGTGGTATTCTTATGGAGCAAGGAAGGATTACGTACTTCCACATCTGCTCAGAAGCTGTATTTTAAATTTAAGAACAATTAGCGCAGTAGTAGAGAAGCTTTTCGAGGTCAGATTTTGTTAACAAACTTTTTAAATTGATATTTTACTTAGCTCGATATGTAACTCAAACAGTCCTGAGAGGTGCACATATGCAACAGAGCACCAATAAGTAAAACTGGAAATAAAATTAAGTGAAAAAAAAAATGAAGATATGAAGATTCGCAAAACGATGCTTAAAGGGTGCAGACTGATCAAAAGACGTAACCCATAACGTATAACACATAGAACAGATGTCATTAAAAAAGTCTAAAGTTTCTTACTTTGAAGAGGTTTAGTTGATACGTGTGAAGACGCCAGAAGTAAGCGTTCACTAGTTCGGAACTTCATTTAAAGAAGGAGCTTGGCAAACAGTCTGAAGCGGCTTTTGTGGAAGAAAACTGAGATTGACCGTAAAAAACTGTGATTAATGAGTTCGTAAACCATAAGTGCAGTGTACTGAAATGCCCAAAGTATCCTAGATCTTTTCACTGTAAGGCATCTTCATTAGAATTGTGAAAGTCTTTCCACTGTGACATGTGATGAGTTGCCATTAGGAATCGCTTGAATAATGTTGCTTTTGTCCCATTAAAACTTAAAAACCATGTTTTAACTTTCAGAATCAGTTTGAACCTATAAACTGTCTACAAATTGACCTAAAGCTCAAATCACCTGCGAGGTAGTCCCTCTTACCTCCTGAGAATGAAAAACAGTTCCTCTCACTTCATAGCAGCGGTTTACGCAAAGCTAAATTCTGAAAATTATAAGCCAGTTCTGTTTTCAGCTGGTGCTGTTAAAAACCTTGAAACTGGAATTTGTAGGGTTGAAGTTTTTGAAGAATGTGGTTCATATGTCGTCAAGAAACTTTCTGTCAGTACCGCTGTATAGCCTTTTCTCCGCAGTTCGCAGCAGTTCCTCAAGATAATAATTTTTTCATGGGACCTCTTACACCTAAACAATTTTCTATTGACTTCTAAAACACTACTAGTGATTGAACTAACAATAAAAAAATCTCATAGCTTAAATACAAAATTACAATCACTGTGCTGATTTTTTGAAGAAGTTTTGCGCAGTTAGATTATTTTTTGAAGCTTTATCCAATTTGTTGTTAAGGTTAAATACACCACTCTGATATCCATTCAAGTTTAACTTTACCATCTTAACTACTCTTTAAAGAGTTATTGTCTCGTTCTACCAGATACGTCATTTTGACCGAGGAAGTTTATCATTCTGACTTTGGGCTACAAATTCAGTTTCTAAGCATGATTTGCAGTTAGAGAGGGTCTGTCTCTGGAGAGGAAATGAGCAAACGGTTTAGCAACGGAACAGCTGTTCATCATTTTTTTAAACAGTTTCGTAGCTAAACATTTAAAATAAAGACTAGATGCTGGTAAAGATGAATTTAGCAAATTTACTGAAGATGGCATGCAACTTTTGGAAGGATTCTGCGCTTGTCACGTTTAATAAATGAACATTTGCTTTGCCTTTGGTTGTTTTCAGCCTTTATTAATAATGTTTGTTACTATATAACCGATGATATTTACGCATACGTAACTGTAAATTCTGATATAAAAAACTCTCCCTTGGGAACTATGATGAAAATATACTTGATGAAGGTTTGGTGGTATGCAACTTTTTAGCTGCTATAACCAACAAATTTGTTTTGGCGCCATTTCTTCAACTCCTGAGGTGGTTGGTTTTCCTACGAATAGTTGCGCTGGGCATCGTGACGACGCTGCGACTACTTTATAGGTAGGTTTCTCAAGTTTGGGTGTTCTTTCCTCTTTTTTCGTTAGTTTTGATTCGCGATGGGGTGTTTCGTGCGGCTTTTTCATTTTTCCATCTTCTTATTATGGAACAAACATATCACTGCTTGTTTTGTTCCTAAATTCGATGGTATGGAAATTGTTCGTGACGATTTCAATTTTCTTCTTCTTTTAATGATCGCACGGTCTTATCATACTTCTGAACTCGTCTTTTCCCTTATTTTTTTTTGCTTGCTTCAAAATTTTTTTTGAAGTGAAATTATTATTCATTTTTCTTGCTCTATAGTGTACCATGTTCCAGGGATTAAACAGCAAGTACAAGTTTCAAACTATCAATTTTATATCTTTGAACAAGTTTAGTAATTTGTGATTTACCCGTA